GCGTGCGACAATGAGTGCTCCCATGGTGCAAGCATAGCGCATTTTAACGGGTGCCCGACATGTTGCTCACCATGGCCTTTCAGCCAATGCGTGCGCTTCAAAACCAACCATGCCCCCCAGCGCAGAAAAACCCCGCGCCCCGCAATTGCCGCTGCGGCCCAAAAGGCGGGCTCGCTGAGCGCTGAAATGGCGCCCAAGCCTGGAAAGAACAAGGGGGTGGAATCGTTGAGGCGGAAATGCCCGCATGCATCTGCCGCAGCATTGGCTGCGATCTCGGACGAATGCGCACGGGGGCCGTTCTCGGCGCCGCGGAGGGGGGCCCGTGAGGCTAGGGATTATGCCATAAACCAAGCGACGCCGTATGGCACGCTGCTCCATGAGATCACTTGTTCTTCCGTTGATTCAGAGACGAGATTTACGGTTGCCATATCTCTCAGCATTGCTGTGCGTGGCGCGCAGCCGACGCAGTTGTTGGCGGGCCCTCGCCCAGAGCGCGCCGGCGTCAGCGCCGCGCTCATTCGAGCGGCCGTGGTCGTTGATATTGCATACTGACGAAGTGGCACCAGGCAACCAATTGTCTCCAGGAAATTCAACGAATATGTGGCTGTTCTAGGTATCTGTTGTAGGAGTAGGGCCAGAAGTGCTGCCGCAAGAGGACGCGTGGCTCTGCGTTGGGGCTTTGCAGCCAAAACGCGTATCAAACATCGATGCAGGAGTCGCACAGGTATTCAAGTTGTTCATGCAATCTACGCTCTGCAGACCAGTCTGTTCGCTGCGCGCGACGGGCGCTGCAATGGAACAGAGCGCCAGGCTGCATTGCAAGCTCGGGGCGGTTTTCAAGACGGCGGCGCGCAGAAGTTGGTCTGGCCTATGAAAGGCGATGCTGCAACCAAGCGTTGCGTGTCTTGCCGCGGCGCGATTGCGATGGGCAGCTCGCTGGTCGACGAAGGGGGGCGGCCCTGCTGAGGGCAAACGTCGCGCGTGAGCGCGACATCAATTTTGCGACGAATAAAGCCGTCAAGGGGGGGGGGGGGGGGGCGCGGAGGCTGGCTCGGTTCCGCGCTGCGGACGCCAGCGCAGATTTCAAGACCTGCAGGGAACCTGCAAATTCGAAGGAGGAAGATGAGGCGACTGCAGACGCCTCATCTTCCTCTTTCCCCCTTCCATCATCTCCCCGCGGGAGAATGACGAAGGGGGAAGGAGGCGGAATTGGGAAGGTGAGAAGGTGAATGAGCAGCGCGCTGCCCATTCGCCACCTCCAGGACCTGCGAGTAAGCGCTCGGTTTCAACCGCGGCGTGCAGACACCTCTTTCTTGCGGGTTGTGAGAGTGATGGGCTCTCAATCGTATACTCCTGATTCGAAGAATGCATCGGGCTGCGGTCTGTGCCCCGCGCGCGCGGCGGCGCTGACAACTTGGCCGAGCCCAGAGAGGCCGCGACGCGGCCAACGGAAAGGCGAAGGCGTTTAAGTGCCAGGCGAGTGAGGCATTGTCTTCGTTGCCGCTCATGTACACTTATGTGATGAAGGTGCTATTTCCGATGGGGGTCGCACGCATGGAGTGCGTCGCGTTTGCTCGTTTGCGTGATTTGGTGCGGCGCGCCGAAGCTGCAGCATCAGGCCGCGCGTCTGCCGACGCTCTCAAAGACAGGGCGAACGCGTTTCTAGATGCCTGCGCAGCAGCCCAATGGCAGGAATACATGACACCGAAGTTTCATTGGTTGACCCATTCCCCGGGGCATCTGCTCAAGTTTGGATACCTTCTTTCGTGCTTTGTACACGAGAGAAAGCACAAGGTTCCGACACGGTTTTGCAATGATATGCGCCAGCTGGAAGCTTCAGCAAGGAGCGTGCTGTCCGAGGCCAGATGCTTGAATTTGGCGACCTTGCGTAGCACCGACGCGTTCGATTTCTCGCCACACTTGCTGAACCCCAGGGCGGCGCCTAAGAAGATGCACGCCCTCCTGGAAGAGAAGGTCGGACATCGTCTCCCGCCGGGCTCCGCGACCACGGCTCTGAGGGCTCGCGTGTCGTCGCTGTCGACCTGCCAGTCTCGTGACATCGCGTTGCTTTCTACTGGCAATGACAAGGCGGTGGGGGAGGTATGGTTTCACGCTGCAGTCAATGGAACGATGGTGTCGCTTGTTTCTGTCTCGGACATCACTCGTCACGATGATCGGCTCGGCGTGTTGACCGTGGTACCAACCGGCGACGACGTGCAACTGGTGCACTCGACCGACATCGCCACCGCCAAGGCGGAAGCGGTTGCAAAGATTCGAAACCATGACCACCCTTACTATACGGGCGTGTCACATTCAAACAAATGCCAGCGCTTGCACACGTGCGACCGTGAAAATGCATGGTGGATATGTGCGATGCGTGGACCGTCCGTTGTGGTTTCGTTAAGGATTCGAAACCTTGCAAGGCATGCAGACGAAGTGGAGGCGGATAAATTGCGATTGTTCAAGTGGTACTAAGTCGTGTGAGCTGCCGACTGGGTTCTTGTGCGCAGCGACGCATGAGATTGTGCACTCGCAATGTGTGGATGCGGCTCGATGTGCGCCTTGGATATTTTGCAGCTGAATATGCATTGGCTGCACACCGACATGCATGTGCTTGCAACTAAGTTGCATCACCTTAGCGAAACTTGTAAGTTTCAGCAAATGACTTGCTAAGTCCGCTAACTGTTGCAATCCCCCAACTTCACTACAATGGGGGGGAAGGATTCGAACCAGTAGTGACCCCTCCCCCGTTTTCGGGAGGAGGGGTTGGGGGGGGTCGAACTTGTAGTAACCCCCCCCCCGGGTTTTCTGGAGGGGGAGGGTTAGGGGAGGGCTGGGGTTCTGCTGGGGGGAAGGGGGGAGGAGGGGGGGGCGGGGGGTTCCAGCAAGGGGGGGGGGATTTTCGGAAGGGGGGGGGGCCCCCAGGCTCCGGAGGAAGAGGGGGGGAATTTTCCACAGTAAAGCGGCGGTGGATCACGCTTTCCCAACTAAATTGAAACGCCGTTCAAACTCGAACCGCTCGATAGTTTGGGCACTTTTCAGACAACGCGTTCTTCAATGCTGTGACGGTACTGCCGGATTTCGGTCACCCCTGCGCCTGGGCAAAATATCTCATGCCAGCCTTATGAAAAAGCGCCCACCACGCAAGCACCGAAAACACAATACATAAATTTATGTTTGACGTGTCTTGTCGGAGCGGTTTCGCCCATTCCGCAGACCGATGATGTCTCGAAGATGTTTCGAACATGCTTCGATGAAGAGCGAATGCATTTCTTCTGAGCTGAAAAACAATTTGAAACATGCGCGAGGCTCACGCGCGTCACAGCTCGTGGGACACGGACAAACACGAGTGAGACGTGCGCCGATGGCCTCAAATGGCCGTTTCGCTCGGGACATTTTCGGCCAATCGACGTCCGAGGGGACCCTGAATGTCAAAAACTGAATTTCGCTCGGTACATCTTTGGCAACTCGGCTCCGGAGAGGTCTACGATTAAAAAAAAAAAAAGTTTCGCTAAGGACATCCTGGACAAGGGAGCCTCCGAGGGGACTCCGGATCTCAATAATGATGGTCTCGCTCGAGACATCCTCGATAGTCTGCATCAGAAAACGCTTCACCCCCCCATGGGAAGCGATCATGGCCCCCAATTGGTAACCACACTCGTCGAAACAACATTCCCAACCCGCACTGATTGCAACATCTGCGTGCAAACTTCCCCCCCGGGGGGGCCTGCCGTGTCTCCCGCTCTGCGGGCTCAATTCAGGGGGCCCCCTGCGGACCCTCGCCGTGGTGTAAATCCAAGGGTAGACGATGAGTTGATGGTGAAATGGAGGAGAGTGAGATGGCAGAAAGCATGCTAAAGGGGGCCTCGCGCATTCCGCAAAGCAGCCGCACCTCCATTCTCCGTTCGACACGTGAAAATATGTGTGATCTGCGTTTTCAGGCCCCTGGCGCAAGTAACAATAAGAGTGAAATGCGCCTCCAAGCTCCTGGGAGACATGCGAATACTGATAACTGAGACTTTAACGCTCATGGGCGCCTCAGTTCGGCACGCCCCTCTCCACATTTCGTACATCATGGGCGCCCAGCTGGCCCCCCAGACGGCTCTACGGAGTCTCAATTCGGCACGTCCCTCACGCATTTCGTGCCCCACGGGCGTCTAGGGGCAATCCGATGGCGCTCGGGACGGCTGAAGGAAGCCTCAAGTCGGCACGTCCATCACGCACGTTGTGCCTCGGGGTTCCCAGCGGACTCCTCAGACGGTTCAAGGGAGCTTAGTTTCGGTGCACCCTCACGCACTTCTTGTCCCATAGGCCCCCGAAAGCCTTCAGTTGGCCCTCAAGACCGCCTAACCCCAGAGGGAGGGGACGGCAAGATGGAGCCAAGAAACGTTGGAACGATTGGTAACGACCCTCGTCGAGAACGTACCACGAACACCCACTGATTGCATTATCGCGCGTACGGCCGATGGGCCCCGAAAGCATTCAGTGCACCCGCATTGTGCTTTCGATCTGTACAAGCACAACAGGTTTGCGGTAGGGGGGAGGGGGGCGTCCGGGACACGTTAAAATACGCGCGATCTGCGTCAGAGGGCCCTGAGAAACATAAACAACGTGATGATGGGTTCGCAACTCTACTATCTCGAGGCCTCAACTCGACATGCATCACCCGCATTCTGGTTTCGTTACGTACATACAAATACAATACGTCTGCGCTGGGGGGGGGCTGCTGGGACAAAATACGCGCGATCTGCGTCAGGGGGCGCGGACACACATAAAAAAGTGATCGGTTCGCAGCCCAATTTTCTCATAGCTTCTATTCGACACACCCCTGACGCACTTTGTACACTAAGATCCCAGCCATGTCCAAGTTGCCCACCCCTCACGTGCTTCGCTGCCTGTGGACTGTCAGAACCTCGCAACTGGCGCTGAGAACAATTGGCAAGAGCCGCAATCCACCGCACTCCTCACTCACCTCTTTCCACAGGTTCCCCAGGATGCGCTCAGCTGGCCTCCAAGAGGCGTCAAGCAAGTCAAACATATCCGAAGAAGCCAGTCGCACGCTCTAGCGTGGCGTCGCTTCAACGAATGGTGGGTGTTCTTCAGGATGGCCCGAACACCTCGCAAACGATACAACAATGTCCCAGCAAACTCACTCAAAGAAGGCCCAGATGGACCCAACAGAAACTTGCAACGACTGGTACCGATTATGGTCGAAACCGCACCCCGAACAACCATTAATCACGAGCTGGGTGGATCTGGGCTCTCAGGACAGTGCCCACTTGCACCGAGTAAGCGACGAATCTGACTTTGAACGTTCGACATGTCCCCACGGCCCCGTGAGGACGTGAAACAATGACGAATCTTGGCCGATTACTCATCACATCTCAAATACCTGGTTGACTGCGTTGAAGAGAACACCTGGAGCACGCCCGCGCAGTCATCTGCAAACTTGACTCGAACGAAGGACTGCGCCCGACAAATCTGTACGGTCATGACAACGGGGATCCAACCTGAAATAGGGGGGAAACAAACCTACCTCGCTTTTGACCACCCTCGCTTCCAAGAGATACCAAGCGATGCCACATTGCAGCCTGTACTGGTCAGGCCGCTTGACGAGGAGGCGCGTGGTATGGCTTGGTTTTGCTTGGAAGCGAAAGCGGGGGAGGTAATTCACGCTCTGATTAAAGGTACACACAAATCCAGGCACCAGCAGCGTTCCGCCTGCCGTTCTTGGCGCGAGTGCGACACGACGCCGTGCAAGAATCCAGCCGCCCTCGGAAACCAAACCCGAAAGGTGTACTTGGTCAAGACGTCGCTTGGTGCGCAAGCTCGGCGGCCGCATGCGCGCGCGGATCATCGGCCGATTGGCCGCTCTCGCTATTTACACGCTTGTCCCGCTCACCTATGTTTCCAATCGGTTCCGAATTCCTAGAACCAGCTAGGCATCCTGAGCGCCGAAGCCCCTCAAGTTTTGCAAACCAAGCGTTTCGCTAGAGACATCCTTGAAGCTTCGTCGCGCCGGACGCACCATCCTCGAGCGGGTACGCAAAAAGTCCACATCTGCTCACTTCCTGCACACTTGAAGGGCTTCATAACGTTGCTATCAACCGAAGATTCTGCGACAAGCGCTGTGCACAATCTTTTCAAATAAGAAAAGTGGGGGTCTGCGGACACCGTGATTTACTGAGGATCCGGGATGGGGGCTCAATTTCCTCGAGCGAGCACGCGCGAAACGCATTTCCTTTAAATAAAATCAGGTCTTACCTATCTTCTTAATCAAGCGAACATTTGCCGGCCCACTTCGAACTGGCACCGGGGAGAACTTTACCTGCAGAAATGAAACACTGGGCCGACGCGCTTCCCGGGAAAAGGAATTGCATTGGGAAACAGGGGCCCAACAAAAAGCAGAGCAGATGTCCTTCTCCTCCTTTTCCTCCTCCTCCTACCCCTCCACCTCCTCTTCGATATTTTTCTTCGTCGTCGTCCTCGTCGTCGCCGTCGTCCTCCTTCTGCTCTTCGTCGTCGTCCTCCTCCTCCGCCTCCTCCTCCTGGCTATTCCTCGTTGTCCCCCCCGTCGTCCTTATCCCCCTCCTCATGTTGTTCCCCCTCGTCCTCCTCGTATTCATTGTATTTTCCCTCCTCCTCCTCCTCCTCCTCCTCGTCCTCCTCGTTCTCTTCCTCATTCCCATAAGTCTTCGTACGCTGTGCAGTTGCGTACTGGCTTCGGGCCCCCTCTGCGCCCCTTTTTGGAACCTGCTCCAAGGTTTCCCCGGGCCCCAGTGGGCGCCCCCCCATGAACCTCGGTGGGACCCCGACAGGTCCCCAAGCGCGGTGTGCAATTGCACACGGTAATCGGGAGCCTCTTGGGTTGTGGGGCACTGTTGAGACTCGCTTTCGTGCCCTTGCGGCCAAATAAAAACTGGCGTTGCCAGAAAACCCCAAAAAACCCTCAGTGGGTCCCAAATCCCCCAAGGGCCCGCCGTGCGCGGGGTTATGCCGTGCCCTCCTCTGGAACTTGATTGGGGGGCCTTGCTGGTGTCCCTCCTCCCCGCTTCTGCTCGAACGTGCCGCTGTTGTGCCCCTTCCTCCTTTTTCCAAGGAACCAAATGGCACCACTAGAAACAATCGGAAATCAGCGCTGATTTCCTGGATCGGCGCTGGACCTGCCCCCCGGTGCGCGCGGAACGCGCCACGGGCGGCGCCAGACGCGCCATGAATGGGGTCCATTGCAAGTCCACGAAAGCTGCGTAGATCTCCGAAAGTTCATGCTAATACAATTCTGGGGTTCCCCGATCACCTCCTCTCTTCTTCTACGTCCCCGCCTGGCGCCCGCTGAGCCAACCGACCTGCCTAGCGGCTCCGACCAGCCAAAGAATATCCGACAGTGGAGCCCCAGACCGCTCGATCGGAGCTGGGGTGGGTGCCCGGACCGCTCAAATGGAGGCGCGGGGGAAAAGGACGCGGGAGGAGGTGGGAAGAGGAGGGGGAGGAGGGGGAGAAGGGGGATGGGGGAGGAGGGGGAGGGAGGGGAGGAGGAGGACGAGGATGAGAAAGAAGAGCTATGGAGCCATGGAGAACAGAGAAGCGAACCCGCGCGAGAGGACTGCCTCGCAAAAGGGCACTCACTGCCTCATCGCAAAACGGGCCACCCTCCGCCACCACAGGGGGCGACGTCCCTCCTCACGTGAAGAAGAGGCCGCTCGCTCATCAGCGAGGAGCTCACGCATCACGGCCGAGGTACAGGTCAGCGCCTTGTCGCCCCGCGGTTCGCTACTCATACGTGATGGCGGTGGTGCGTAAGGGGGGGGGCGGTCGGTTCACCTCCTCACGGCGAGGTCCGTCCCAACTATCAGCACCTGCCAAAACATCTGACACGTGAAATGGGTTGGTACCCCAGGGCGTGTAGGCGCGAAGGCCCCATGGAACTTATGGACCACATGGCCCCACCAATCCATCAAATGCACGATCCACGCTCCTGGAAGCTCAAGGTGGCTCCAGCGTCGTCACGGTCGCGCGGAAACGAAGGCGAAGGCGAAGCCGGAGGCGGAGGCGGAGGAGGAGAAGGAATAGGAGGGGGAGGAGGAGGAGGAGGAGGAGGAGGAGGAGGAGGAGGAGGAGGAGGAGGAGGAGGAGGAGGAGGAAGAGGGGAAGGAGGAGGAGGAGGAGCAGGAGCAGGAGGAGGAGGTGGAGGAGGAGGGGGAGGAGGAGGAGGAGGAGGAGAGGGGGATGAGGAGGAGGAGGAGGAAAAGGAGGAGGAGGAGGAGGAAAAGAGGAGGATGAGGAGGACGGGAAGAAGAACAACGTTACAGGCGCTCGAAAGCGCTCAGCAACCTGCGCATGAAAAAGAGAAGGCGCACGAATATTCGGCGCGAGCGGTTTGCAGGCGCCGTGGCCTAGGAGAGGGGCTGCACCCCCGCTGTATGACGACAACAAGCGCAACCAACACTGCATGGCCCTTCATGAGACCAACGGCAACCGTGTAGAATTCTGGGGGGGCGGCCGCGATCATTCGTACATCGCGCTGCGCCCGCGCTCCCAGGGCCGCGATCCCTTGTGAATTGCAATGCCTCCGCGCTCCCAGGGCCAGATCCCCCGTACGTTACGCCGGGTTCGGGCTCCCAACGCAACGATCCCTTGTAAATTACGCTGGGGTCACGCTCCCGGGGCCACGATCCCGCGTACATTAAATGTAGTTCACGCTGTAAGGGCCACGGCCCCGCGTCATTTACGCTGCGTCCGCGCCACCAACGCAGCGATCTATTGCGAATTGCTCTACCTCTGCGCTCCCAGGACAACGATCCCTAGTACATTACGCTGGGTGCACGATGGGTGCGTGCTCCCAAGGCTACGATCCATAGTAATCCAAGCTGTATTCACGCTCCCAGGGCCAGCTGCGTCCGCGCTCCCAGAGCCAGGATCCGTTGCAAATTGCGCTGCATCCACGGTCCCAGGGCCACCGTCAGTTGTAAATTATATTGAACTCGCGCTTCAAGGGCCGCGATCCATCCTAAAACACGTTAAGTTCGCGCTCACAAGGCCACAGCCACAGCCCATAGTGCTCCGCGCTCCCAAGCCCACGATCCCTCTCAAACTATGCTGCGTCAGCGTTCCCAAAGTCACGAAGCACCGCGCGGAGGTTGCCCAAAAGGGCACCCGAGGTTGCCCACAAGGGCAGCCTCCTCTCCAGAGCAGAAACTAATACGTTTCTGCAGTGGGATCTGTTTCCAGGGGCGCGTTGAAGCCCCCCCCGCCTGTTTTTTGAAAATCAAGCGCTGGATCCGAAGAACCGAATCCTTACAAATAACGCTGCGTCTGCGCGCCCAAGGCCGCGATCCCTCGCGCATACGCTGGATTCGCGCTCTCAAAGCCACGGCCTCTTGCAAATCACACAAACTTCGCGCTCCCAGGGCTGCGATCCCATGCAACTTGTTTAGGATTCGCGCATCCAGGACCGCGATCGGTCGTAAATCCGCCGGCCCCCCTGTGGGGCCACCAGGCTGTAGGGCGAAGGTTCGCAGTCCCCTGTACCAGTTGCAGCTTCCAGTTTCCACTGTTACAGTTCTGCTTCTTGCTGCTTACTGTTCCTTGCTACAGTGAGGCTTCTTGCTGCTGACTGTTTCTTGTTGATGGACCGCGCGAGGGGGGGAGGCCCAAAACGGGCATTTTTACTACGGCCAAAAATGTAGTGTCTGAAGTGCTGGGGTGGGTAAAAATTAGCACCCCTCCTGCAGATCGGCGGGGTCAGGGTGCAACAACACAAGGGACTTGCCACATTTCTGAAATTCGGTGGCACCCCTCACACAGATCGGCGGGGTCAGGGTCCAAAAACATATAGGATTTGCCACCTTTTCTAAAATTTGCTGGCATCCCTCGCGTGGATCGGCGGAGTCAGGGTACAAAAACACATGGGATTTGCCACATTGCTTAAATTCGGTGGCACCCCTCGCGCAGATCGGCGAGGTCAGGGTCCAAAAACACAAGGGATTTGCAACTTTGCTTAAATTCGGTG